AGACAGCCTCTTCCCAATATGCGTTTTTGCAATTTACATATATGCAAAAACGCATAAAAAACCGTTCATGCAGTTAACCCAATTCAAGTTTTGTGCAAAAACGCATGATCGCAGCGGCTCGCCTGATGCCTGGGTTTTTATGTGTTTTTGCATATATGCAAATGCAAAAACGTACGTTGTGACCATCTCGGTGTGCGCGCGTGTATGTGTGTTTGTGTGTTTGTTCGCGCCTGTCCGGGTATTTCAGTCCAACAGCCACGCAAGCTCCGGTGCCAAAATTTTGGTAGTGGATCCCTCGGCTAAGTACTACCTCAGGACCGCTGCACCAACCCTCACATACATCTGGGCCCCGCGTATGACCACGTGGGGATTTTTGGAGGGAAAACTGCTAACTCCAAAACCGGAAAAGCTTTGAGGCCGAAGTTTTCAGGGGATGTCTACTATCCTTGTGCAACTCAAAGATTTCAAATCTGGCCCCCATACGTGTGTTTTTTTCACATTTGACCCTATGATTGATTTCGGCAGGAAATCGCTAACTCGGGGACCGAAAAAGCTGAAATTTTGATATGTTCCCCGTCTAGGTAGGACTCGAAGATCTCAAATTCAGCCCCCAAGCCAGCTTGATTCTTACATGTCCTTCCTTCAAATTTTTTGGCGGGAAAGTCGCCAACTCCGGAACAAGAAAAGCTGGAAGGCTGAAATTTCCAGGAGACTTTCCCATCCCTCATTTAACTTAAAGTTATCAAATTCAGCTCCCAGGCTTACGCGTTTCTCACCTCCAACCCTGTTAAAATTTTTGGCGGGAAGAATTGCTAACTCAAGAACCAGAAAAACTGGGGGCTGAAATTTTATGAGGATGTCCCTAGACTCCGTAAAACTTAAAGATATCAAGTACAGCTCACAGGTGCGCACGATTTTCACGTATGGCACCGCGAAAGTTTTTGGTGGGAATATTGCTAACTCGGGGAACAGAAAAATTGGAAAGCTGAAAATTTTAACGGAATGTTTCCTGTTCAAGTGTCGCGTAGTTGCACAACTAAATTCCAGTATACCACAGTTTTTACCTGCTGGGTTTCCGAGCGATCGCATTACAACACTGCAAAAGCGCATGATCGCACGGACCCATCCGTTGCGCGTTGCCATTCATTTGTTAAAAGTTTATCATTCGCATAAAAGTCGTCCAGCACCAATACAAACTTACAGTCTTGGATGCGTGTTCATTTTAGGCCACATTCCCAGCCACAGCTTACGGGGCGCGATATTACTTTCTCATCATTTTATGAGGCTCCCGGGCAGACGCTGTACTGGAAAATGCCTACTCAGTTTCTTGGTAATAAAGTGACCAGCTACGGTGGAACTCTCAAATACGTCGTCAAGTATTCGGGTACGGGACCGCTCAATACCGATGCTGATGTCATTTTGCGAGTATGCATTTTTTCTTTTTTTGAACATATTGCTCAAAAGCAAAAAGGTATTTTTAAAGCATTCGTCAGCTGATGTGCATTATGAAGCAATTTTTAGGGAAACGATATCGTTCTGCAGTACAGGAGTAGTCAACCAACTTTTGCTGACCGTGAAAATGTGGTGGAAGTGAAACTCTTCGAGGACCAGTGGCAACGAGTGGACGGGCAAGCGGCAACTCGAGAACATCTGATCATGGCCCTAGCTGACCTCGATGCGCTGCTCATCAAAATGAGTTATTTGGACGAATGCTCATCATCATCCTTAATTAGCGTTTCCCTTGATTATGCCGAGCCGCATCCGACCGGTGGCCAGATCGCTTATGAGGTATACCTTCCTGTTTCGGTTGTCAATTCCTTTCGACTAGCTCTTTTTAGTGCTCATCTTCGCATCTCTATTCTGTGTTTCAGGTTGAGCAATGCCAGTGCCCACCTGGGTATGTCGGTACTTCTTGTGAAGACTGCGCTCCTGGTTATTCTCGTACTGGAGGCGGCTTGTATTTGGGTCTTTGTGAACGTTGTGAATGTCATGGGCATGCTTCTCAGTGCGATAAGGTTTTTTTTTACCTGCTGACGTGAAAGATACGTTTCGGCTGGAATACGTGGTTTGGCTGTAATTCAAGTCTACTTTATCAAATACACAACTGACAGCTAAAAAGACATTTCAAAGAAATTAGTTCGTTTTATTTCCACAAAGGTTTCTTAGACAGAAGCAAATAACAAGGCTTTAGACAATTCGGGATATTTTTGATTTGTTTTGAGCATCACTACCTCATCTCGAACGCTTTCAGTTCCAGATCATAGTACTTTATTAACCTGGAGATCAGATGTCTGTTAGTTTATTGAAGGAAAAGGAGCATACAAAAAGTAAAAGCGCTCGGATCTTATGAATATGTACGCTCAAATCGCCTAAATCTACATTTTTTTAAGGCGAACATTTTTTTTAATGGTTAGCTAATAAATGTAGCTGCATTTTTTCTGTCAGAGAGACTACTGACTACTGCGTTTTGTTGCAGCAAGAAAATTTTTGAAATTTTTCCTGACACTACTTATGGACTGACCGATATTCAGCGTTGAAGCTTTGGTTAAGTAGTTTTGCTAACTTAAAGCTACCCAAGCACAAATACACACATATACAAGCAAAAAACAAACATGCTAGCAACACACATATATGCAGATATCACACACACACACACACACACACACATATATATATATATATATATATATATATATGTATACACACAAATCAAACTTATCCCGACTTATTGCCTCTACGAAATGCGCTTTTTAATTGAGATAAATTAGCGTCCCGCACTGTAACATTAACTTCATTTATGAGTTTCTGTGTTAGCGCGATGTGGCTATCCGGGTAAGCGATCGCATGACATTTTTAATCGTAGCATGATTTTTTGGCCTGTGTCATGTTTTTGAACAGACGAAAACAGTCCACAGCTTTCTTCATTTGTGGTTTGAAAATTGGTAGGTAGAATACCCAGAACTGGAAAGCGAGTTTCAAACTGTTCATCCCGTATCGTTTACTGGGAATATTGAATGCAAATTTCCAAATTCATTCTGCCCTGTTCTTGAGTTACTACTTCCCGGTCTAAATAGAGAGTTCGAAATTCGATCCTTATAAAGTGAATTAAATCCTCAGTACCCTGAATTGACAGCTTTTCTGATTATGAATAAAATCAGATTGTGCGTTGAACTGTCTAAAAGCGTTATTCATCCCGAATCAGCTTTCTCGAGGTCGGTAGCGTTATCCATTTCGAATCAGCTTTTGAGGAAGATTTCCAAATTTATTACCTAAATTATACAAAAGCAAATTCACAGAAATGAAGAATTCACTAGGTCTAGAAAGGGTTGAGAGTTTTCAGATCTTTAGTAGAAATTTATTGTCTCGAAATTATAAAAATTTTAATTTAACTGAAATCTTTGGCTGTGCATACGTGTTTAGGAGCACGGATTCTGCATCGATTGTCAACACAACACGGAAGGTGATCAGTGCGAACGATGTAAGCCGGGATTCACAGGTGATGCCCGTCGCGGTACTCCACATGACTGCCAGCCAGCGGCTACTCGACCCGCTTGCTTATGTAATAATCACTCTCCTCGTGGATGTGATTCGTTTGGCAGATGCTTGGTTTGTTATCATCTTTTCTATTTTTCTTTCTTTTCGGTGCCGTCGTGCACGCTGTAATATTTTGAAACATCACAAATGTAACACTACAAAACATAGTACATTTTTATTCTCATGAATTCAACCCAGGCTGGAACGCACCAGGCGGGCGGTCATGCTTTTTTTGCACTTTTCATGCTGTCACTGAAGTCCATATTTACAACTGACATGCCACATAGCTGCATAGCTAACTTCGCAAACTTCGGGAGTTAATATGTTACAGGGATAGCTATTGTGATTCCTTGCGATTTTGCGATGTCCCGACAAATGGGAAGTTGCTGGTCCGCGAAAAAGGCCTCACTAGAACAGTTAAACTTGAAATCTTTTAGTAACAAATGAGTAGAGAATATTCTCTTAAAATTAAAGCCTTCCAGTTTTTCTTATTCCCGAGTTAGCAGTTTTCCCATCAAAATTTTCACGTGTCCATACGTGAGTACCGGGTAGTATACTGAGGGGATGAATTTAAAATCTTTTGGTCGAGCATGAATGAGGAACAATCCCCTAAAGTTTCAGCTTTCTAAGTTTTCTCGTTCCCGGGTTAGTGATTTTCCCGCCAAAATTTCCACGTGCGCGCTCGTGGGCCTTTAGCGCTTTTAAACAACTGATTTTGGTCGTGCGTGAATAAGGGACATTCCCCTAGAGGTTCCGGCCTCGTTTCCGAGTTAGTGACTTTTCCAAAATTTCCACTTGCTCGTATATGAGCCCGGAGCAGTCCTAGGTAACTGGATTTGAAATCTTTTGGTCATACATGGGTAGGGACCCTAAAGATTCAGCTTTCTAGCTTTTTTCGTCCCCGAGTTAGCAATTTTTCCGCCAAAACTTTCACGTGCTCGTACGCCAGATATGCATAAGAGTTGATGCCGCGGTCCTGAGATGGCACTTGGCTGGGGAAAACACGCTGGCAAAATTTCAGCTTCGAAGCTTGCGTGGTTGGCGAGTTGAAATATTCGGACAACGAACATACACACAAACACACACACACACACGAACACACACAGGATCGTTGCAATATGCGTTTTTGCTGCCTGTTGCAACGTTGCAGCGCTGCGCGGCAAAAACGCATAAAAATGCATAATAAGAAAATTTGCAGCTTTGCGAGCATAACACTGAAGGATATCACTGTGAGCAGTGTAAGCGTGGATATTACGGCGAGGCTACACGTGGTACCCCCTACGACTGCACTCCTTGTCCGTGCCCGTAAGTTAACTTTCTACATCTACATGCCCGTAAGTTAGCAAATACTGTGGTTGTACAATGCTTCTCAAAAATCTGGGCTGAAAGTTTTAAATCAGAATTGTTTTTTTCTTTTCAGAGGCGCATCGGACTGCTTCTTGGATGCTTATGGACAAGTGCAGTGTAGAAACTGTCCTGCGGGCTTGACTGGACGCCTGTGCGATGAGTAAATTTATCAGTTTTTCCCTTTTCATACTTCTTCGTTGTTGCTGCAGTGGTGCAAAACGTATTTTGTCGAAGCTCTGTCATGTGTCCATACCTTCCCCGCTACAGCAGCATACGCGTGCATACATATATGTGTGTGTTTAATCCGAACAAATATGCGCACGCATTTGTTCGAATTCTTGTTCTGTTTTTTCAGCTGAGCAACCACAAAGCTGGGAAGCTAAGATTTTCTTGCCCGTACTCAAATTTAACTTTCACATATGTCTAGATTTCAAGTACGAAGTTTTAGCGAAGAAATTTTTACTAACTTCGAAGCCAAAGAGGATAGAAAACTAAAATTTTGGGATGCTTCATATGGCTTACGTGCGGATGCATGAAAATCAGTTGGGAATTTGCTGGCATCTTATTAAGTCTGGTAAGCAGAACTGGAAGAAACGCATGGTTGCGTCTGCAAACTGATACGCGCCAGCATTTTTTAAATTAATTCGGATTGAGCTTGTTGTCTTGGTAATTTTTTCGCGAATTTCGGCGCAGTTTGATCCTTACGTGCTGCTTCTTGCATTTTCACCACTATGTAGCCGCAAAAACAGTATAGGAGTGAACTGACTGTATGCGGGGATTTCATTTCGGTGACTAATTTCCATTTGTTCCACCTTTCCTGTTTAAAACCTGAATTATATTTCTGTCGCACTTCTGGCGAAGAGTTCAATTTACGGCCAAAAAGTGTGCGTAAATTATGATTAAGATCAATGGATTTAGCAGTTACTAAAGCTCGGTGTGGCAGTGCAAAATGCACTCGTTTGTGTATCTGTGTGAAAGTTGCGAAAATCATCGTCGTACAAAAGTAGCGGGTTTATTCTTCCAATTAGATTTTGAAACGCAGGCGTAAGCTTACTGGCTTCCAGTCTGCATCTAATTTCATGTTTAGCACCATAAATCAGTGTATTAACCCCTTTCTTATTCCTCCCCTCCCCCCTCCTCTCCCGTGTCCCTTCTACTTCCCTCACTTTCCATAATCTCTGTTTCCCATGCCCACTTTTAAGCGACGTTTCAGCTCTTTTCCAATCGGAATTTCAGTCCCTTTCCTTTTGTTGCGACTCTTCATGATCTAAATTAATATCTTTGATCTTTTTCTTTCCCACCTGCTTCTACCTCTACTCTATAACGCGGAAAGACAAACCAAGCCATTGCGACTCGCCGAGCTGAGCTGAGCCTCGTTTTAATGTCTGGAACACTTTGAGTTGCCAAATATTTCTGGCATGTTTTTATCATAGACAGTTGTTTTAACAACTGTCTATGAAAAGTTTTCATAAATAGGAGCAAGATATGCACTTGCGCTGGTGTTACTTTATCAAAAACTACAGGTGTGCGCCTGGTTATACACGTTCACGTACGCGAACACGAGTGGAGGAAGGGCGTAGTTGCGAACCGATCGGACATGTCGAACAGACAAATATTGTATTTGTACCGACTCCAGAAGGTGACCGCTCACGCAGGCGGCGTCTTCGCTCGCAGCGTAGTCGCTTGCAGCGAAATCGTCGTTACCATAATCAGCATCAGCGTCACTGATAATTATTCATTTTTTCACAAATTTCAATATTTTTGCTCGTTTTGAAGCGCTATTTTTTGTCCGAGTTTCATACCATTTGTGTCGTTTGTCCTCGTCTTGCTGCTTTTTTACCGCTTTTTGCTACATAAACGCAAAGGGCTAACTGCAGACCCCAATTCCGACATTTCTTGCATTTTTAATTCAGCTAAAAAATTTCTACATTTTATGAAAGAATATTTGTGTTTTGTATTTTCTTTTACTAATTAGATTTTTAGATAGCGGAGAAATGGGCCTAATAATTCGTTTCACGTTGGGTCTAGCAATTTCAATATAACTGATGTCAGGGTTTGCATTTTGTTAACTAATATCTGTTGATTGAATGCAGACACCTGGTCAGTGCCTGATTCATCCTTCTCGTGAGGAGAATGCTGTCCTTTGTCGCTTCATGTTCACGGCTCGTCATTTCATGTGAAACTGCCAATTAACAAAACTGCTCCTTTTTGTGCCTTTTGTCATCACTGTCCGGTAATAATGTGTTTTGCCTCCGTGTTTTCATTGCTCACAAAATCCACACCTTTGTATTTTTATTTCTTGTCATAATAATATGATGTAATGGTAATAATAATATTAATCGTAATCCGTTGCAGCTGCCATAATATGAAGTTCTTTGGCATGAAGTCTTAGAGCATGATGCTTCAGTGGAAAACATGTTGGTCTGGGGAAAGTTAGAAGAGTAAACGAAGGAACTTAAATTTAGGCCATCAGAGCATGGTTAGGCTGTTTGTTTAGTTACGCGCAAATTTTAGACCGCACACCTTTGCAATTTTTTTAGAGATATCCAGAAAATAAAATTTCTTCGGAAAAAAAGATGAAACTAAAACTCCGTGACAAGTATGAAACTTCCCTGATTTTGAAAGCTCGCCACAAAACTTGTTTGCTGCTCTTATTTGATTTTCTGACCAAAACAGCACATGTTCCTCTGGCTTATCTTTTTTGTTTCTGTGCTGTTCTGTGCCATTCTTCACGTTTTTTTAGAAGCTGTTAAACTGTAGGTCATCAGGAGCACTCACCACGCAGTACACTTGCACGCACTTCACGTTGAGCGTCCCAAAAATCGAATAAACAACCGCCAGTTGCGGTTGTTGATGCAGTTCCCAGTTCGCTTATCTGATCAGCATAAAAAGTAAAAGCATGCATTCCTTCGACTGAGAAGGTTTAACCTGTTAAGTGGCTGACGTAAGCAGTATGCACAAGGTGCATGGCAGCCTCACCGATATCGCTTCTCAGCATCGTTTGCATGCACATTTTCAAATTGACAAAAAAATAAGAAAAATTTGTCTTGGTTATCCGGATCATTTCTGGAAAATAAATATATATTTCAGCGTATGGTCCACCACTACGAGTACAGATCGATCCCCCGAAGAATTTGCATGTCCCGGTTGGCGGTAGAGCGCGCTGGTACTGCCGAGTCGTTGGGCAACGGGTACTTTCCTCTTATTTTACTTCCACATTTTACACTTACGCGTTTTTACATCGGTGATCCAGCAAAAATGTGTCAAAACAAACTCGTGCTAGTTATAGTACCAATTTACTCTTGCAACCAGTTTTACTTATTTACCGCCCGTGCTCATCGCCAGAGAACGTGAAATTGAGCTTGCACACAGAAGCACCAGTTGTTCGAATTGCAACGCTTTCGCCATCCTCCTTCTCTGTAATTAGAAAAGAAAGCAGAAATTTTGCAAGAGCCGGCACTAGTAGTATAGGTCATTCTCAACTACTGCCTAAGCCTTGCGCACAAATGCAGTGAACTTGATGGGGCATAGTTATAGGCAACCTCTCTTCACAGTAATCATGCACACGGGAGTTTGAGATTTAACGTGGTCCCAAATAACGTAATACTACCGTTCAAATCTGATGCTCCCCCTCTCTCACCCGATCCCTTAACTCTCGCCCCGCCTCCGCATGTAGGAAAAGACTAACGACAACATTTCCAATATATGCTCACATATCAAACTGTAAAGCAATGGCCAGTCATATTGTTACCGTTCTTACTGCTAACGTTGGTACTGCTGTGCAAAGACGCTTGATCGCACCAAAAACACTAGTGCGCGTTTCTAATTGGGTTTTTAGTGTGAAAAGCAAAAGTGGCAGTTTATGCAAAACAGTAGCCTATGCAGTTTTTCTTTATTTCTGCAATCAATTTTGATCAGCAAAATGCAAACTTAGATAAAAAGACAGTAAATTTCAGCTAAATGCTCAATGTACTCAGCTGGAACAACCAAACTTAGTATAGCAAAATGCAGAATTTTGATATGAGTCAAAGGACAAGTCCATGCATTAAGTTGAGAAGTTGTGAAGTGGCATCGCACCGTTCTAGTCAAGAAGCTTAAAATTTGTAAAACTGCTTTGTTAACACGAAAGAAAACAGAACGAAATGGAAAACCGGGTCCTTTCAAATAGTGTTTTATAAGTTTCCTTTGGTTCCATTTGACAATATACTTCAGTCGTGATAATGTGAATATTGCTTGCTTCAGTCTTAGATGCCTTTTCTTTTCAGTAATAGGTGAAGTTTGAAGCGCGGGTGTTCAAACGTTTTTTAGGTGACTTCCTCATCTTGCTGCTCATAAAAAGCAAGATTCACTGGCAGCAGTAATGGCAAAGTAATTCTTGAGCAGCACCGGTAACCACTGCAGCAATAAGGGTTTAAGTTTCAGTACCTTTGCTCTACTCTTTATTGTTCATCGCACGGCTCAGTAGCGTTTTCTTCGAAAATTTCGTAAATCATGGAAAATGGGCTCTTCGTCACCGGATCCTTATGGTGTTCCTGAAAAGTCTGCATAACCGGTGACGAGTGTTAACGATGGAAAAATCTCATTATACGGTTTCCTACGTTGCATTTTAGTTATCTTCCTCATCTCGCTTTTGCTTTTCACTGTCATAGGCGCTCAATACACACGATTTACTGCATTTTTTTTAGTTGTGAAAAAATTCATTTATTTCTCAGGTGGGGGACAATCTGCTTCCATAATTTAATTTATGAGCCAAGCTGTCACTAGTGGGATCGCTTGTGTTTTGTTTCGATTCTAAATTGTTACTTGCCGGTCTAGCGTGTGAAGGACTCAAATCTTTTCCCAGACGTTGCGAGGTGGAAAGATTCATCAGTGGCTGTGCGAGATGCACCTCCAGTTTGTTTGAGACTATCACTTAGAATAAGTTATGATCTAAGCTGGAATGACACCTACGAGAATTGCTTTATCGCTTAATTTCATGATTTCCTTATTCTTTTTGCTGTCTTTCACCTGTCATTTCATTTACAACTGAACTGTTTAGATGTTTTTAACGATTTATTTATTTTTCAGATGTTTTCTTTCGCTTAGAGTTTGGATTAGCGGTGATGGGATAACTAGCAGGGTGCGGTGCCACTCACACTGTAGATTGCACATGGTTCTGACTGTCAGTGGTGATAACTTGTTATGTAGCTTGCTGTTGGGCATAGTGAGAGTCGAAAGGTTACCAATTCAAAAGGACTGTGGCGGAAGGAGCACTCATAGCACTTTTAGCAGTTAATCAGTGCGTAGTAGAAGTAATATAGATTAATGTGGCATGTCCTGTTCTGGTAAAGCGAACTAGCTTAATTTTAGTATTTCATGCCTGCATTGACAGCCTTATTTTGAATAAGACCTATTCTAATCGGAAATGACATTTTTTCCTGCTGTGCCTTTCCTTCTTTCAGCCCTTCTTCAAGTGCTTAGACAAACCATTTTTTAAAATTTTGATGTGAAAATTTATGCTTTTGAGCAACTCAGTTTAGCACTTTTTGGGCAACTTTAATGCCGTTCCGACTAAAACCAATTTTCATCGTTTCCATCCATACAAATACAACTTTAGTGCTTGCTTGAAAATAAAGAAGCGACCATCTTCCTGGACAAGGCACTGCTATAGCTCATTAGGTCGAGTTACTGCTACACGAATATGAGGTTGGATTGCCGAAAAGTCACTGATTGTGCATTTGAGCCAGAGCCTCTTGGAAGGATGTCTCTCCGTGAAGTATGCTTACTGCCCTAAGAAACCGATCTCCCTCATTTTGTTTTCTAATTTGGCGCTTGGTTTCTAATGAGCTTATACATCGCCATACGGCTGCTCCGTGCCTTAAGCACACATTTGAACCGTGAAGTGCAAGTAGAATCAGTCGAGATAGAAAACATGAAATTTTGAGCGTAAGTGAAAGGGAGTTTTGTTCTTTCAAACGGATTGAGCCACCAAGGATTTCAGCTTAGGATGAGAAAAGGCGCATGGTGATGCATGGGTTAGTTGTTTAATCCAGAAAAACCTTTCTTTGATTTCGAATGAAGATATTCGAAAGCAATCTAAATCTAAACGACAATCTCTGCGTTAAACTGCCGTTCTTCTATCATTTGTTTTCTGCTTTGCGCTTTTACTACTGCATGCTGTGAAATATGTCATACAAAAAGTATATCTGTTTCTAGGCCCCTGGTATTCGACTACAGTGGTCCAAAGTTGGAACTGCAGGCTTACCGAGCAATGCAGCACAATACGATGGGGAACTGATTATTGATGGAGTACGTGATTCCGATGCTGGACAGTATCGTTGTACAGCTAGTGGTGACCACCAGTTCGCCACCGATGATGCTACGCTGGACATCTCCAGTGCAAAACAAGGTTACGCAATACCCTCCTGGTCTGTTTGTCTGTAAAATCGTTGAAAAAGAGTGATGCTATAAGCAAATTACAAATAGTACAAAAAAAGAAGTATAAGTTCAGTGTTGATTGAAAAATTAGGTAAAAATTAATGTGACTGTTTTCAAAGTACATCTTTTGCGGTTTGTTTCACCTGTTTTTGTTCACCTTGTTTGACATGGGGCCTCGTTGATTAGTTGCTATAGTGCTTCCTTGCTTCGTTTAAGTGGCTCAATTACACTTTCAGATCGATGTGCCGTTTGATGCGGGAAAATTTTGATGTAGCAAAAGCTTTGTAAGCTTATTTTCCATGAAAATTGCAACATATTTCATTCTATTTTCAGACAGCAAACAGAGCTGTTTTGTGCCTTTGCATAACTTCATTAATTTAGATGGAGGCGGCCCGCCTCTGGTGATGGTTGACCCACGAGAACAAACGGTAAATGAGAACGAACCAGCAACAATTCGGTGCTGGGTGCCCGGTTTAACGACATGTGAGCTTACCTGGCACAAGGAGGAGGTCGGCGGATCTCTTCCGTACGGTGTGTATCAGAGTGGCGGAGTGCTGAAAATTCCTCGAGCGCAACTTCAAGATGCTGGCAATTACATTTGCACTGCCCGAAACGAATATGGCGTTGGGAAGTCGCCACCAGCACGGCTGAATGTCAACCGTCGTAAGTTTTGCGGCAGTCTTCTGTTATCCTAGTCTTTTAATGAACCCGGCGGTAAGCATTAATGAGCTTGCAACACTTCACAGATCAGACTTTCGCTGTCACTAACCCCTATTTTCGAAAACAGCTTGTGGCTGAAATAGGAACGCGTATCAGTTTAAATTTTATCACGTACTCCTTGTTACTTACTTGGCGGATGGCAGACTGTGCGGATGATTCCCATTCGCGTCCAATCTGTATTTATAGCTAAGGAATGAAACACAAACTGATTTGCCTTTTTCTGCATGCAGAATTCTCATGCAGCTTACATTATATAGTGTTTTCAAGTTTATTCCTCCTTTTTGGCTATATCTTTTGCTGCTACTGTGATAACACTATTGTGTTCACGTCATTTATATGCGCTTTCGCATATATGCAAATTGCAGAAACGCATATTGGGATGAGACTGTCTGTGTGTGTATGTGTGCGTGTGTGTGTCTGTGTGTTCGTACATTTTGTCACCCACTTTCAACTCGAGAACCAGAAAAGCTAGGAGGCTGAAACACTGGGAGTATGTGCCATACCATGCGCGACCCTCCCGCTTTAATTTCATCCCCCTTGGACGCCAGAGTGCTGCGAGACGCTTTAAAAAATATGCAGATTTTTTGGCAGGAAAGTGATCTCGGGAACCACATGAGCTAAGAGGCTGAAACTTTGTAAGGAAATTCACTATGCACGTACTAGCTAAAGATTTCAAATTCAGCCCCAAGCTATGCGTGGTACTCACGTAAGGGCGTATGAAAGTTTTAGGGGGGA